TAAACCCTAAACCCTAAGTTCTAAACTCTAAACCCCAAACCGTAACCCCTAAACCCGAAACCCTAAACCCTAAACCCTAAAGCCTAAACCGTGCCCGCCCATGGCAGGCACCGGTTCGGGGACGGCTTTGAGCGAACGCCACAGCAGGCACGTCGCCGGAGTCGTTGCAGCGAGTGTAGGGTGTAGGGTTTAGAGTCATAGGGATTAGGGCCTAAGGTTTAGGGTTTGGAGTCGTAGGGTGTAGGGCTTAGGGTTTAGGGTTGGAGTCGTAGGGTGTAGGGCTTAGGGTTTAGGGTTTACAGTCGTTGCAGCGAGTTTAGGGTTTCGGGTCTAGAGTCGTAGGGTTTAGGGCCTAGGGCTTAGGGTTTGGAGTCGTAGGGTTTAGGGTTTTTGTATGTCAGGCGCGGCCGACAATGGACAAGTTGCGCAGTTCCTGCCTTTATCACTTCAATGGGTCAGTTCATACCCTAAACCCTAAGCCCTAAACCCTAAACCCTGAACCCAAAGCCTTAGCCCTGAACCCGAAGCCCTCAACCCGAAGCCCTCAACCCGAAGCCCTAAGACCGGAACTCGACACTGGGGTCTAGGAATGCTTAGACCGTACCCGCTTTCTGTTCTATGCCCTGAGGCCAGCAAGCTCTAAGCCCCGAACTTTTCAAGCTCGAGAAAGTACGTCCTAAACCGTAAACCCTAAGCCCTCTACGCCCTAAGCCCTGAGCCCTAAATCCTAAAGCCTAAAGCCTAAACCCAAAGCGCTATAGCCTATAGCCCTCAACCCTAAACCTTAAAACCCTAAACCCTAAACCCCTAAAGCCCTAAACCCTAAACCATAAATCCTACCGCAGAGCCAAAGACCTGAGCCTCACACCGCTTAAGCCCTACAGCAGCAACCCGCGCGCCAAACCCCCCGGAACCGTAAATGGGTAGTTTTAGGGTTTAGGGCTTAGGGCTTAGGTCTTAGGGCTTAGGTGTAGGGTTTTCTATTCGTACTATATCCTGATAAAAAAGGACCCCCGAAGGGACCATGTTTTTGAACACTATCCAGAAAACATCCAAGCTTCAGAACCCAAGACGCCCGGAATAGAGCCCCTGCGAGGCCGTAAACCTCGAAGCTCAAGATGCAAAACCCGAATGCCTGAAGCCCAAGAGCCCAAACTCTACTGAAAAGCTCTCAGAAGGTTTCAGGTTTAGGGTTTAGGGTTTAGGGCGTAGGGTTTAGGGTTTAGGGTTCAAACTCGCAACATGAAGCAGAAGAGCGCTACAGCCGTGTGTGCTTAGACGTCAGGTTGTACACGAGGCCAAAACCTTGAAGAACCCTTATAAAGCCCATATGGAGTTTCGACACTTTTCGAAACCCTAAACCTATCAAAAACCGGATACCCTACTTAAAGGATCATGGGACTAAGTGAGTAGGGTTATAACTAAGGTAACTATACTTATAACCCCAATTAGGGGACTTATAACCTTACTTACTAAGTCCCATGATCATTTATGTAAGCTCTAAACTCTAAACCCTAAGCCCTAAACCTATCAAAAACCGGATACCCTAAGCTCTAAACCCTCCTCCCCGCCCGCGAGGTGGCCAGTGCTTACTTCGGCGCCGCCTCCGCGTGGACCTACCGGCTGTCACCCCCGGGATCCACCGCCCCCCAGGCCGCTGAAACTCGCGCAGCCCCTTAGGGGGTCCTTCTAACAGGGTTTAGGGGTTTAGGGGTTTAGAGTTTAGGAGTTTAGGGTTTAGGGTTTTAGGGGTTTGGGTTTAGGGTTTAGGCTTTACTTGGAGGATCATAGGACTTAGTAAGTTAGGTTATAAGTCCCCTAATTGGGGTTATAAGTATAGTTACCTTAGTTATACCTACTTTCTAAGTCCCATGATCCTTTAAGTAAGGGGCTTTGAGAGACCGAAAGGGTTCCTTCACGGCGGGGGGGGGGCTCCTTTAAAGGGTTTTTTTAGGGTTTCTTTGAAGGTGTCTGAAAGGGTTTTGTGTCTAGTTTAACGTAATGCAGGATTCATGTTTCCTCAGGGTTCCTTAGTATACCAAGAGTATTCTCTACCCCAAAGCCCTGTTCTAATCGCTAAGACTCCTATATTGCTGACTAAGTCCTTCTTCATGAGGAACCCAAGCTGCGCCTGATAGGACTGCCCCTAACTCTAAATCCTAAGCCACAAGCAGTCTCGGGTGGGTGTCAGCGCCATTTTCGGTTTAGGGCTTAGGGTTTAGGGTTTAGGGTTATGAAAATGAACCCTTACCACTCGTGCACTCTTCTCGCCGAAACGCGGCGGAAGGAATCTTGGCAGGTGGCATCGTGCACAGGAAGGGTCGCCGTCAGACCCTTGCAACATGTTGACTCGAAGCCCTAAACCCTAAACTCTAAACCAGTTAAGCATCAGCGCTTCAGGATGGTGTTGATGGTGGTTCTCATGACGGTCATGATGAAGCACAGTGCAACTGTTGTCGTTTTGTCCTGATGAGAGTTTGCTTTACCCTAAACCCTAATCCCTAAAGCCTAATCCGTGATACCGTGGCTCATTCCTCGAGTGTCTGCCCCCGCTCCAGCGCTTCAACCCTAAAGCTTAAACCCCAAACCCCAAA